CGGCTATTAAGTGCTCTTTTCGCGCCTCCGACTATTTTCACGGTCGCATTATTGCAACGCACGATCGCCACGGCCTAAAGTAAACTATACTTAAACCCTATCATTGAGTAACAAATCAATGGCGGTCACCCTAATGATAAGGGCCTAATATCTGTCCAATCGTCACAACCCATTAGGACCTATGTGAAAAAATATATAGGGCTTACACCGGTTGGTCCGTCGCTTATGGTCCTGATTAAAATATAATTTTTTTTAACTTTTAAAAGGTCATTTAATTCTGCAATATAAATGTTGCTAAAAATATGATATACATTCCTAAATTCAAGGATTATGGGAAAAAAGAAAATTATTGTACGACCTTGTTTCACAATTAAACGTTAATACATTTTAACAAATTCATAATGTTCGGAAGGGATACAGTATATTATTTTGGATCATCTCCTCGTGCCTGAACATTTTTCCATTGTTTGGAGTTGGTAAAAGTTTTAGATTAAATATTATCGCCACAGCGGTTATGGCTTTAGTTTAACACTTTACCGTTTTATAGGGTTGTAAATCGACACCGCGTTATAATAATATTATAATGCATGTGCACATATGCATATGTTATGGTTTTTCTTTCACCTAGTGGAATTTGAAATATGTTTGTGATTTCGACGAATAAGGCACGATTAATCCGTAATACCGGTTTACCATAAATAAATAAATTACCATCGGTTTCAACGTTCAAGTCATACGTCGTACGTACAACGCGCACCTCAAGGAGTCTCGTGTGTCATATTATTATTATTGTCGTTTTTATTGCACCGACCACAGGTGGATAAAATTACTTCAATACCGACAACAGACTGGAGTCGCCAAAGCAAGCCACTTTCGTGTAACGTCAATGGACTACTATAATAAATTGGACCCTTAGCCCAATAGATGGCCCGATATAAAATTGACATTTCCAACGTATTAATTAAAGAAGCAACAAAACTCATATAACTTGATTCCAAAAATGCACTATTGAACTAAGTTCGATCGCAACTAACCGGTATTGCAGCTCAAAAGTCATTCAACCATTCAATCACCTTAAATTATGAGCAGAGTATACTTTATCGCCTCACACGCTATAAATTTAAATAAACGTTTCGTACAATCATTACAAATTATTAATATAGTTATGTCTATTAATTTAAAAAAAAAATGTATTTTTACATCTACATATTTAAATTTACGCATAAATTATATGTACAGAGCTAAAAAATACGTATCCAAATATATTTCAAATGTCCGTGTGTAATCATATTTTGGGTTATCCACCAACATTATACATAAGTGGTAGTTGATAATAATCGTTGATATTCGATTGTACCGACAAAAGACAATAATGCTTATAGTAATAATATTGAACGCCTTTAACGAAAGCAAGTAGTATTGAGAAGTGATTACTACAACATCGAATTCATCGTCCTGAACAATGGTCAAAGCATGTGTTTCTCACAACGCAACGATATTGAGCCTATGTTTGAGTACGGGTTTTTTTTTTTAAATTTAAATTTTCCCTTTTGTCGCAGCATTGTTCTCGATAATTGGCACGTGTTGTCTTGAGACTTTGCCATTGCCGTTGCACAAATGGTTAACGGCCCTCGAGTGGTTCGGTTAGAAGAAAGTCCATTATAAAGCATAATAATATAATAATAATCGCACTACAAACACGCGGAGCAATGATTTCCGTGTAATTACATTACCGGTATTACCATTAAGCCCAATAATTGTTACATTTAATCTAAAAGTATAAATAAATAAATGTATACATATTTAATTAACGGCTACTACCTAGTATATATATTTAATAGTAAACCACTTCTCGGGTTCCCACGTACAAAAATCCAGCAACCACTTGTTAACGTCGTTAATAAGGAATTGGAAATTAATTTTCAATATTAACATATGATGATAATGATAATGATGGTCGCCGACTGCAGTATACAGACGATTCAGTATGCAAATACACAAACGGAGCTATTAACATGGCAGGCAGGTTGTAATACGTAATAACGCGTTTTTTATGTATTCTAAAAAAAAAAAAAAAAACTCGATCAAAACATTATTAAACGGTAGGCTTCTAAAACGAATAGTTGGTGTAATCGTTAAAAGCATCAATAATTGACAGCGAGTATAAAATACAGACTAGTTAATCGGCCAAAGATTACATCGCTTGTTAGCCGTTCAAAACCGTCGTTGTTCCATCATTAATTGGTCGAGACCAAAGAGAGTTAAACGTCAGTCGAGCCGACCCCAACCGTTCAGTGATTTTTTCAACCACGGGGAGGGGGTTGTGCAAAGAAAGGTTTACTGTTTTAGGAAAATGTAATTTTGTCACGATTTATAATGCAAATTAATCGATGAACTTTTGATTCAGATTTGAGACGCACGTTTGGATCGGATTGATCTTAACTTATTCAAGTCTGCTAAGTTTTTTTATAAAGTCACTCAAACGGATCTCAACCACAGATTAAATAAAACCAGATAGTGCACTCTAAATAAAAAACAAATCGAAAAATGTTAACAAACTTTAATAATCTCAGGTCAGTGTAACCAAAAAACGTAAACAAATAATCCTTCTATTATCCAATGTGGTCAAGAAACATCTGTAATGTTGTCACCGTCAACAATCGTTAATCAACCACTTGTTATCAGTATTTCTCATCGGTTTTGGCCCTGCTGCGTTAAGTTTAAGCCAATCAAAAATGGTTATTTGAAAATCTATATTGTTCTACAATGGAGTTTGCGTCTCCACCCAAATTCGTACGGTCATTCCTATGTATTAATTATTGTTGCATTTTTTTTCTTCATAAAGAGGGTGGATTTTCTTCCATATCCCCCCCCCCTCCACCTAACCAAGATAAGAGCCCACGGTTCTGTGCGACTCGCGGGGAGAACAGCAAAGACAAAGCGTGCGCTCAAACGGTCACGTTGACCGTGCGTCATAAAACATAATAATAATGTCCGGCCGCCGTGTATGATAATAGTGAAAAGGATGCGTTCAGGTGCCGTCAATAGGTCATAGGGTGAGCAAACATCAATAACCCGCCCGGAGCCGGTCCGTGAATATTTATCTCTCTATTGACCCGTCAAACTGTGTGTACACAAACTCACCAGAGAAAAAGAGATCTCCGTGCAACAGCTAGGTATGTGTATAATATTATACACAATATATATATATAAATATGACGACGGTATCACCGCGCTGTATAGTATAGGCTTTCGACACGTTTTTTCTGATATATATTTTTTTTTCTTTCACCGCCACAACCTCTGTACTACACTTGCGCGATAGCAATCCGCAACGTTCGATTCCGCGATACACATAGGTAATATTATTATGATTTATATGTCGTTAAGTCGCACGTTAAATGTATATTTTGATCGTCCGGTGGAGTAAGTATAAGTGTATATTATAATAACCCAACGGTTGTTGTACGCGCGCGTTCTTCTCGTTTTTATGGCAAGAATGATTTTTCATAATTTCCCCCCCCCCTCCCCAACAACCGCAAACATATCGATATCAGGACGTTTTAATGGGCCCAAAAAAAAAAAACTCTCAGAATCAAGTGTGTTTTATTTTATTTCAAATAAATCTTCCACAGGCGTTGCAGACTTCCAGTGTACGTGGGCAACTCGTTTTCTAACTGTGTAATCCGGTGCTCGATGCTTGTAATATTTTTATTTTCTTCTTTAATTACTACTCAACCGATTGGACACAGCACAGCGGGTCATTCGTTAATCACGTTAAAATGATTTTTTATTTATATTCTTTTTTTAACTCCTAGCTCGTCACTCCGGTGTAACCGGCGAACTCATTCCTTGTGTATATTTATATATATATTAGTTAATTAATACGGTTAAAAAATAAAACGGTTCATACCGCATATTATAATATTAATTACTGGAATAAATGATAATTTGTAAATGCACTTTACTAGCCAAGCCTAGTCGCGCGAGTTTGAAATTGTTCTGTAATTGCTTTAGTTGTTTTCTGTATACATTAAAAAAAAAAATAATAAAATACCTAAAGAATATGTACTCAACTTGGAACATGTATTATTATTATTATCATCTTATAGAGGTAGTCTTTGGTTGTTTTTATTCTTCGTCCCGTCGCTTTAAATCTACCGCTGCGCTTGTTTGTCGCTAATCCGTTATAATTGCATACACATACTTGGTTTATAATAATATGTAAGTGAACAATTTGCCGTAGCGGTCAATTAAAGATTATATCCAAACCTCCGTGCGGCCTTTTATTGCAATATTTTTATCAGCAAACATTGATTGTAATAAAATTACTTATATAACGCGTGTACAGAGAAAGGACTCGAGAATAACATAGGTATACACAGTGACAGTTAGACTTCAATGTTTATTCGAGATTAATAAGGGCGACTTTAACGACTCAAAATGGAATAACTCAGATCCGATTAACGTTTCCCGTTGGCTGTACACCTACACGGTTTGTCGATCTTAGACTCAAAAATCAATGGTCAAGATTAAACCTGCACTGCAGCTACCAACTCTTGATATATATTTTGTTGGTTATAAAAACCGAAAATGGGTTTATTTTTCAACGCTATCCCGATTTTCTAAATCCATGACCAGTGTTTTTTTTATCAATTAAGACATTTAAGAGAGGAGGGTTAAAATAAAACAATGCAAAACTAAATGAGAATCGTTAAATTGCTCAAATTTAACAAACCGCTGGCTAAAATAGTGTAAGCCTCGAAATTTAGGTATTTGAGCCGACCTAACTTCAAGTTTTATAAAGGCTTTAGTATAGTCTTCTTCCCCGTCAATGTCCGCTGACGACGAGGGCTCACTTTTAATTTATTACCACGTCCCTGATCGCCCTATACAAAATCCCGTTCACGCTCATAACTACCCGAACATATATCACTGTTATACATGTTAAACATATATATTATATTTCAAGCTAACCGCGTTTGCCGATATTGTTTCAGATAAGACACAGATTCGGTTGCTACGACCAAGTGACCGAGGTGAACAGACTCCGAGTGCGTTATTGTAATTGGGTCCGGTTTTTGAAAATCACGCAGCACCATTCCGAACAACATGTCAACGTATTGGGAACCAAAATAAAAGGTATATTATATACACGCCATACACTTACATACATGTATATTATACCTATATAATATTACCAGCAACCGGTTCGATACGTTTTTGTTTCACCGAAATACGTTTTATTATTATTTTTTTTTTTATCATGACGATTATATGCGATTATTCGAGTATCTCGTTGAACCTGTTCGGGGTTTAACACCGCGTCTTATGGATTTATGGTCGCGTCTCAGATGTGTGTGTGTGAGAACCGGCGCGCGTTTCGTCACATTTCTATAAGCGGTTATCAGCTCATTAAAATATCATATACGTACGCGTTTATCTATAACGCGGGTAAAATATTTTATAATTTTTTTTTTGTTGTACTTTTCACAGGCGAACCCATGTACGAGGTGATAAAAAACATACCCGCCAACACGGAACTGATCGTGCACTATCTCCCGGAGAGGCCGGAAGAAATATTCTTCATGCCTGCCGTCCACTACCTGAGGAACACGCTGTACAGGCGCACGATGGACACCATCCTGGAAGGTAAGTCGCGCGCGGTACATACCTACTTATAGGAACGGCGAGAATCTAGCGTTTAATCTATCTGTCTATCTGTATCTCGAGTTATCCTCGGTCAGGCGAACTCACAAACGCCTCAGCACCGCCGATGTTATCACCGATAACACTATGCTATATAAAAGGTCAGACGACGGTGGAAATACTCTCTATACCAACAGCATAGGCGCAAATACCCAAAGACGTTACAAATGAAATTTCGCGCAAATTCGCCTATACGGACGGCATAAACCCCGTTCCTTTGTGATAGGCGTATATTATATAAGATGTTCAAGAGATTAATATTGTTCACCGTCGTTAAAGTCTTCGTGAAAGGTTTGACGACATAGCATAGTGTATATAAATGTTTAATACAAATTAAGGGCTGCGGGGGAAAAAAGATCAATGTCAATTTTTGTTCATTCTGAGAAAATCATGTCTTTAATTTCAAAACGTAATACATTTTGCCAGTCTTTTTTCCCTGGTTCGAGCGCATAAACGATGCAATACGTCAATACAAATAATTTGATACCAAAATCTCATTTTTGAAAAAAATTGACATTGATCTTTTTTCCCCGCAGCTCTTCAAATTAATATGTACATATTATTATACACCTATAATAACTAGAATGTTACGTTTTCTGCGGTCTTACGCTAATTAAGTCTTTTAATAATTCTGGTTTAATAATACAGCGGCGTTAATTGAATATGAAAACGCGTTTTTCGGGCGCGTGTGACGATATTCTGGCGTCAGACTGATTCGTCATAGATAGTGCGCAGTCGACAAACAAAAAAAAAAAAACCTGTGGCGACGGCTGTGTATGTAAAGTACCTATACCTACTATATTATTATATACATGGACGAGACCGAGGGTCTGCGGTAATTGCCGTCCCCGTAAGTATGCAAATGGTCGACTAATTGAACCGAACGCTGCAGCGGATAAACGGAAGCCGGCAACGGCAACGTCTTGGAAGTTGGACACGCATGTAATGTGTGCGGGGGACGACGAAAAACAACGAGACGACCGACAATAATTACCCGGCGAATATATAACAGATATAAGTACGGTTTATACACATTTTATGTACGGTATTATATTATTATATTGTGTGTACGGATCGGCGGCGGGAAACAATGGGAAAGTCGGCGCCTTTGACCGAGACCAGGGCCCCCGGAATGCCATATTTATCTTTTAGCAGCCACTATAATATCGCCAAGGTGACCAGCAACAATTCGGTGCATTCCACCGGTGACGACACGACTCCGCCATTAGGTCCAGTCCGATTGATACCGCGGTGGCGGCCAGATGCATTATTGCATATTACCCGTTTAATTGCACTATTTCATGATAACCGTGGCCGCTCAACTGTATAAGGATTGAGACCATCGACCCATTAGGTAGACATATCTTAGTGGGCATACGTTGATCCGAGAAGTCCGAAAACGACTTGGAAAAAATTAGGAAAATTTTTGCAAAGTTTACATGTCACTATAGATTATAGAATTACAGATGTCTTATAGAAGACGCACTGAAGAAGAAGAATCAAAATTTGTAGAATCGTTTTTCAGCGGTGGAGCTCGAGATCGCACTTCGCCATTATTCAAAAGACATCCCTTATATTGAAATGGATTCAATACTTGTGATAGGTGTGTTGGCTTGCTCGTGTACAGTTCATGCAACGCGTCTTCCCTACAATGATGTATTTAGTGCCAACGATATACTTTTACTGTCAAATACTTACCAAGAGAAGTTTCTCTTTCTCAATTCGTCGACCGCGTGCATTGAGAATATATAAATCAAACTAAATGCAACGTATTATAATATTAATATACGATTTATAACGGCCAGGTCTTCGATGGTTACAATAATAATTATTATTTCATTGGAGCGAGGAAAAGCGCACGAGTCGTTTATCGCTCCGTTGTCATCTGCATATATACACCGTGTGATGGTGCTCCGGTAGAAAGTCTTCTACGACGGACTTGAAATAATAACATAAGTGTTCTGGTACAATCCAATTATTAAATTATACCGCGCGCGTTCAATAAATGACAGTTGTTCGTACCTCGCTATCGTTCAACGGTCGTAAATAGAAAAAAAAAAAATAAAGAAGCGTTTCACTTGATACCAGTATTTCCGGAAGACGTTCCTCTGTATCGCGTTCAATAACACAATAAATATACACATACACATAAAGTATGTTATCAAACTAGCAATTACGGTGGTCATGCATATATCATTAACGACACCTCGTGAACCGTTTTCAATGGCGGCGGTCGGCACCAATGTCTGACACGCCGTGGCTTGCAATAGCGTAGTCTGCTGGCTGTACGAAAGCTACCGCGAGAAATCCAGTTTGAAAAGTCGGATCAAAAAGAAAAAAAGAAGCGTCCGAGTTTTGATAATAAAAAAATGGTTTAATCGAGAATTGCGGTGCCCGCACGAAACTTGCACAACGCAAGACGAAACATCCGGTTGCAGCAAAGCGACTGTTTCCTGTGTCGTTGTGCTGTGACAAAAGCGAATCTAGTTCCTATCTAAAGGTGTACATAATAACGTAGAGAACGGATTAATAGGAGAAGAAGGAAAAAAACGAAATGCACGCATTTTGGATCTCTATGGATATGTCTGACCGGTGGTTGTCAGTCGGTGGTTTTTTTTTTTTTTTTTTAACCGGCTGAAAGGAATTGGGCTTGTCGACGGACAAAAGAACGGGCCGTCCGAAAAGTCAGTACTCTTTTCAATCTGGAAACGTGACGTCTGTAATAATGACCTACAAACGGTCGGGGCACACTTCGGGTCCATTGTCTCGAAAACACCTCGTTTTTCTCAATCTTTGAATCTCTCGACAAAATCGGTGCTTCCCCCTCGTTGACTTCGGACAGCCGCGTTCGCCGGCACCGAGTTAATCTCTGCGCTAGAACCAGCACATCTACACAACAACGTGGCTATCGACTATTGTAAACACCACGAGTGGTATGCGCCTTCAACCGTGTGCGTTATACGCGTGTGTTTTTTATTTTATTTTGTATTATTATTATTATTATTCACTGTCCTCTCGAATCTAACAAGCGTGCATTAGGCACGCACGAGCCATGTCCGCATCAACAATGCATTAACAATTTTTTTTTCATTCACCACCACCCCCCCCTCTCCGTCTCCACTTAGCCACTGGTTCACCCAACTAATTACATTCGTCAATGGATCCGCGCGACCGTCCGAGACCTGTGGAAAAATGGTCGCTACATGGTCTACGCGGTAACGCATCACGGTCCACGATGACATTATATAGTGTGATAATAGCTGTTGTCCGTAGCCACACGGTTATAGGTTCTAATAGAGCACACAATATATGTATAGGTACGGCATATAGAGAGAAACAAATTTTGTTCAAAGTGACACAGTATACTATTCAATAATATGCAAATAGATAAGACGATTTTAATTTTACGATACAAATAAACCCTCTTAACTCCTTAACATTAACGATTGCTTGTCCGACTCTGAATGGTTTAATTGGTCTAATTGCTTAGGTACAATATTCGTATAATATATTTGGTCTTTCTATAGTACCTATATTATCATTGGTCATTTGGCCGGCCGCGGCGGTCTTAGCTCGAATCCTTACTGCACGCTGCGGCTACCCCGCACGGTAGTTTTGCGCATTGCATGACCTTGTGCGATCATGCCTTATCGGGCGTACACACAAGCTGGGACACTTGAATTTATTTCTTCAAACGGATTCGCAATGAAATACACACACGGTGGCTGAGGCCAATGCGAGAGATCATTCAAATGCACCTCGGCATCGCAATATTATGGTAATTTCACGAATCGAATTTCGAATCCGGGCCGACCGTCGTCAAGTGTCCACCGTGAATCGCTTTAACGACTCCCCCCCCCCCCGACCCCCGTAAGTATATGTTGCGCGTTTAAGACGAAAGTAAAAATGAAGGGAAAAAATGTATACATATTATACAAACGCGCACGCATTTAGAATTGTACATAAAGAGTAAAAAAATAAAACGAGAAAGACACAGAATCCATGACCAATACCGCTGTATAATAACATATATAATACGGTTTGTCCATTGTTCTGGTGGCTATTGGTGATTGTGCGACGACGGCGACGAAGACTGTGATATGCGCTACACAGTCGGCGGCGTTCACTTCCAAACGGTAGCGGCACGTATCCTTCTATTGTTTAGGCCGATCGTCGGGTATTGTCCGGTCTATCGACGGCCGGCGGACTTGCATAGTGTCACGGACTTGATTTGCCTGTCTGTCTGTCTGTCTACACCATAACCCAACTGTATAGAAACACACGGAAAATCTACGTTTATCGCAGCCACCGACGATATCGGTACGGGTACGACCAGCGTAGTAAACGGCTATTTTCACCCGAGTTCGAAAACATTTACAAGACAAATGGTAAATTTCTGGGTGTGCTGACACCCAGCCGAGTATGATGTTCGGCTAGAACGTCTTGATTGGACGACAAGGATCCCGAGTTCGAGGCCTCCCCTATCTCTGCGCTGCTGTCCCTTTACCGATAATTGTATTTTGTTAGAAAAAATCATTTTAATTTAGATGGCGTCTTATGGTTTTTAAAGAATTTGCTATCTACCATAGTTAATAAAGGTGATTTTTTTAGATTTATACGTTTTTACTTATTTTTCCCAAATTCCTGATAGTTTAATCTATATATTAAAAATAGAATTGTTTATTATAAAATTGGGCATCGAGTGGGAACGTTATTCGTTTTGGTAACCCGTTACCGATGTAAGAATCTCTCCAAGGAAGATGTCTTCTCAACATCAAATAATCGGATTTATCGAAGAAAAAACGGACGCTGACGGATTAATCGTCGCGCGTCAAATGCTAACCCAATACCGTTGTATTTTTATTGCACACAAAAACACTATGATTTGAGCTGCGGCGATAGTATTATATACAAACACATAACAATATAATATGGCGATTGAATTTAATGTAGAATTTTTTTTTTTTTCTATCATTTCAGATTCTCCGTTGGACCTGTCAATGTCTTTATTGTCCAGAGCGTTCGGCACGTCTTCCGCATCGTCCATGTCATCGCCGCCGAGTGCTTTGGACGTTGACGAGCGAAAATCTTTATCAGACGAATCTTCGTCGGCCAATTCACTTTCCGGAGATACCGTTGACCACAAAATGCACGCCATCAACAGCACTCCAGTGAAGTCAAGACCGTTCCGCGGTGAACGTACCTTGCTTCCTTGCGAAGTTTGCCGCAAGGCGTTCGACAGACCGTCGTTGCTCAAGAGACACATGAGGACGCACACCGGTAAGCGCTACCGTGTTATATTATCAATACACCGCAAAAGTAAAAAACAATTATTATCAGATAGCATTGTTTTAGATTGTTATCATTGACTGCCCAATACTGAAATTATCGTTTGTTTAATGAAATTAAGTCCTGCGTTGACTGTCAACGTTTGTTTAATATGAATAAATATTATTATAGACTATGATATTAATGTTTTCTATTATTTTTTTTTAGGAGAAAAACCTCATGTCTGCGCTGTGTGCAACAAAGGATTTTCAACGTCTAGTTCGTTGAACACCCATAGACGGATACACAGTGGCGAAAAACCCCACCAGTGTGGCGTTTGTGGAAAACGGTTTACTGCCAGCTCCAACCTTTACTATCACAGAATGACACACATCAAGGTAAGTCGATATTTTTCTTCGATTTTATTTGGGGCAAAATCATACATATGATGTGAAATTTGATTGTCTTACACACAATGTACAATGATTTACAAAAAAAACAACTTGTAGTTGGAATGAAGGCTGAAATCAAATCTATAAAGTTCAAATACCTACTCGTTCAACAAGAAATTAAAATTTATAGGTTTTTTTTATTTTTAATTTTTGGATCTTTATTATGTAACAATCGTATAAACTTTATTGCGAATAACGGGTCAAGAGTAATGCCTTTATTTGACAAGAAATTCGGCTCACGTATGACGTTTAAGTAGAAACCTATTTAAAAAAAAAATATTTCAAAACTAGTTAAACGCTGGTGATTAAAATTCATATTGGCAGTTGTACGCTATAAACTAACTAGATATTTTAATTTGACAAAACAAATCAGGTTCTTCAAATAAAATACACATATTCGGATTTAGATTACAATAAAATGTTAATTAGTCTTTTTATACATTTTATAAACTCTAGTTTAATTTTATATTCGATTAATTAGCAACTGGTAGTACATAAGAGGTTAAAACAACGATACATATCTTCAGAATAATTAGGTGTTTCTTGTTTTGGAAAAATAACACCATCCGTGATTAAAAAAATCCCCAATTTTTTTATTTGAACAGACACAAATTCCTATACTTATTGGTTGTTTCGTTGACCGCAGCTTACTGTTTATTCGATAAAACTAAAGTATGTGTTATGTCAAAGACCACACAAGTTTCGGTTGGAAATGTTTATTTTGTAATGGTTTTAATTAAAATGATTAGCGTGACCAGTGTTTTGTTTTTTTTTCAATAATAATAACATAATTTAACAGTAATCGATAATCTTCAATACGGCCCAAAGTGAAACCGAGTTACATACGAAAATAGTATCGAATCTCGTGGGCTTGATCACAATATACATAATATGTATACACGTGCATTGTTCATCGTACCCATAAACTGTTGTTTGATCGCCTAAAACAACGGCTAAAAAAACCGTCGTGACCACGGCGGAGGGCTAAAGACAGGATCCACGTACAGCTTCTCCTGTGTCGGATGTGTTTTTTAACGGACCCAGATAGACACACACGCAAGATTATGGGTCTTTAATGATACGTCTGAACCAGTCTGGGGGCCATGCACATTGTTATTACCGTGCACACGGCGGCGGATTGGTTACTAGATATTATAATAATATTATATTATATATTGTATATTTTTAACTCAAATTATTATACACACGGAATTAAAATTAAAATAATCGTGTGGAACGCACGTAACGTGCGGGGCTACTTACTTGCGGCCGACAGTGGCCGAGATGGTGACCGGATACCGCGGCGGTATAGTTTAATTTTTGTTATTATAACGTGTGCTCGCAATTTAAATATACATAGTTGGTACTATAATATAATATTAATCTTAATACCCAACGGCTCTAATAAATCGATCAGTTTCCAAGCGCGCGCTCCGATAGCTTCAGAATCGGTATGCGGCGAGATCAGAACCTTTATGATATTAGGTTCAACATTATTATTAACGTTACTTTGTTCCTTTATATAATATATACATATTTCTGGTCTAAATCTCGTTCACGAACCTACCTATATTATAATCTCAATGTGTATTATCGATTAAAGTTTAGATCGCCGATATCAAATTGAATCGTTTAAAATAGTAGGTATGTATTTTTTTTTTTTTTTACCTAACTCGAACAATACCTTAGAGTCTATGATGAAATTTGTATCGCAGAGTTTTCTCGCTGTTTAATTTTTCGTTGTATAGGCCTGCTGATCCTCATCAAGCGTAACTTCTTATTATACTCTTTATCCCACCACCGCCGTTTTGGTTTTTAATATCGCTTATGCCTTGCTTGCCAATTACATCTTGAAACGGACAATTTTATTGGGCTCCCAAATTTGTTCAGTACAATCTCATCGTTCGACCTAGTCTTGTGGATGTGTTATTTTTCTTTTGTCTTAGGCCAAGTTTTACACGAGTATTGAATACATATACATTATATTACGAGTTGTTCTACTATTTTTTACAGGAATTACCTTTGTATACAAGTAACTGGTAACTGGTAAAAGACTTATATTTACATAATATGGCTTACAATGACAACAATAAAAAATATATCAGCTATGTGCCATCATTATAGCGGCTAAAACATTTACACCGTACGTTATTCTGCATTTTAACAATTACCTAAAACATGCACGACACTGTAAGATCGTGTTTATACGCGTGTACTGACCAAACGGCTTGACTTTGAGGTCCGGTAATCACTACAATATACTCTACTAGAATTTCAAGAATAAATAATCACTATACTCAAACTACCGGATCTCGTTTATCATATTATTATTTTATTATGTGAGTCGTTGTTATGACGTTAGATACGACGACTCGATGATGTATGGACCTATGTGTATAATAACTTAATACACGATAAATTCAATAGATTCGGCGATAAATCTTAGCCGCACGGGGTGACTTGACGCCAGCTGAGACGACGGGTGAAATACCTACTCGGTGCGGACGTGTAAGCTTATAAATGCTCTACTGGCACGCGACGCTAAGTGCAATATTGACGGTTTAGCTCAGCGACTTAACCCCGGGGCTTAAGACACGCCACACCGCACCACGTGTCAATAATGGCCGCGATAAATAATTATTATATCTTGCGATTCGCGGTACCAGACCCGCGTAGCACCACGGATTTAATAAAACCAGATGTGTATTGTTCACTAAAGAAAAGTGAAAAATGTAAACAAACTTTGATACACACTCTATATCCAATCATTTTTGCATTGGCGGAGAAGGATCAGGGTGAACCTTAAAATTATTGCTTTTCAAAATTCCTATATTTATTTTTTCATCTCGTGGGTCCGTGATTTTTTGGTTTTCAAGCGAATCCGAATCGTTCAAACGTGTATAAAATTAATAGGCGCCTATCGCATTTAACTTATGGTGAACGCGCTTCGACTTAACACATTCCTATGACAAATCGGTCGAGCCGGTCGTTCGAAACTAATTTGCCGCGAACGACGAGTTTTATAATATTACAGTGCCAGCAGCAGCTGTAGTATAAATTTCAAAAAAAAAAAAATTTAACCAATTTTTCATCGGGCCGGCCCGTGCGCGTTAAAGCACCGGGTGGTCGTGTAAGCGTGTGTTATATTTACCGCCGCCGCGACCTTATGCACAGCGGTATCTACATACAGTACTGTGTTTTTACACATACCATATTATACATACATATGTACAGAAATAAATACCCGGCCCTGGTCTTTGTGCCGTGGGAACTGCCTGTATAAACGCTATCCGGTACCGTATCTCGACGGCAGCGTTATCATGGCCGAGTATCTATCTATCCACAGCAGTATACTTCTAAGTACTATACAGGTAGGTATGCATTTTATTCGGGTGCAAACGTATAATTTTGCTTGCAAGACCGTCGGCTGCTGCCGCGGCTGACAAGCGCACGGTACTTTTTTTTTACAATAATTTATTGTACATAAATAATAATATTATGTGCAGTGCCCAGACTCTCAGCTGTTGATCGGTGCTATTTCGCAATGCGTGTAAAAGTCAATAAAAATACTTAAGGTATATTAATACGGTCCGTGTATATAGTATAGTAAGTAAGGAGGGTGCGTTATGGACGATGATCGTTATCGTCTGACAGATTATCTAGTGACCAGATCGACGACACGGAGATTTATGCCTGTTGTTCCGTCGATGACACCGGTTGCTTATTGTTTTATAATACATAGTAAGAAACTGATCTTTCTAGATTTTGGTTGATAGTTGGCCAACTAAGATAAAACCGCGGAGGTCATCGATAGCTTCCGTACAAACATATAACGTCATAAGCGAAAATATTAACCATATATATTATTATCAGGTGGCAGAGGGTTGGGAAAGCTATATCCTTATGCTCCTAATCCTGCAGTCACTTAGAACCCTACAGTGGATTAAATCTACCCAAGCTACTGCGGTGGAAAACACCGAATAACGCAAATATATTACTCTCTGCGAGCAGTTGGCAACAACAGTATACAGTGCGGTTTGGGCAAAAGTACCTGTCTACGACTTGAGGGTTCGTCAGCGACCACGGCAACCGAAGGGTACTCGAAAACGACATTCCGGATAACGATCAGATATATAATAAAATAATATAATAACCACGTTACCGCACGCCATGTCTTTCTCCTCGTATAAGTTCGCCTATATTATACTCGAGGTGATTATAATACATACATATATACCGGCAAACCAAAATAAGACGAGGGAAAAGAAAACAAGACCATATGACTTCCTGTGCACACGGTAGCCTATTGTCCGCTATGGAACCCTCTCGGACGGCGTTCGAGTATATACATACATGTATAATAGACTCGTTACAAGGTACTGCAGTATATATATATATATATATTATATAGGGACCTGTACGTAGAGGCGTTTTCGGAAAAAAGTTGCAAAATCATCATCGATCGAACGACCGGTGCGATGACTGGTCCATTAAAAAAAAAAGGTAGGTATATAGGCATCGTCAAAACTAATGACCGCAAGCGGGTTTACAAAAATTATAATTTGATGTCTGAGCGGGCGGAACGCGTGCCACTTAAATGAGCAACGGTCGTGTCGAGAGTGATTGAATTAAACGATTCTATTCAAACCATTATCACCGTTGTGGCACGTCCAAGTGAATATTGTATAAGAATTATTACACACACACACACTATGTATATAAACTAACGAAACGTTTCCGTCCGGTAGTTTTTTACATGGTCTCTCGGTCCTGTGCAAATACAACAATTTTTTTTCCTATCATAAAAGTATAACATATATCATCATCATCGTCATTCGTCGGCTTAACGGGCCTTTTAAGTCCAACGCTGCCATCACGAGACGGTTGAAAAGTGCATCACAATGCGGAAATAATTCCGTTTCCGGTTTTTATAATTATAATATCATAACGAAAAGTCTACATCTCGGTGGATATTTCTGAAAGACTTCAACGCCCGTCGTTTTTTTTTTTTTTTGTGTAAAAACTATAATATTTAAAATTACAATAAAGCAAACTTGTGAGAATAAAATAAAAACGACCGGTTTCCCCTCAAAAATTATTTCCGAGCGCATCCAACACGCATAATGTTTTTGTCAGGTGCATTTCGGAGCAATATACGCATTTATTTATGTATAATTTTTTTTTTTATTTTTTTTTTGTCGACCAACTGTCCCGCAACAATACCGGCCAAGCAATTACATCACTTGCGTGTTGTCTCACAAGGAAATGGCCGCATATAATATATCGTGTGCACTGTTGTGTACGTTGGGCGTTTGAAGAGCAATTTCCTATTTCACAAAACCATATGGCGTCGCCTTGTGTGTGCGTCTTAGCCGCGAAGCACATTATAGTAACATATTTTGTATAACAATCGCTATTATCTTATTCTTTTACTTCCACCCGAAAAAAAAAGGGTTTCTGGCAGACCGGAACCCCGCAACAAAAATACATACTTCTTGGACACGGTCCGAGTGGCAATTCTCACAACACCCTCCCACGTTGACTCCGCCGTGGAACGTGAAAATGGGTCACTAATTTATTTAAAAAAAAAAACAGTTTTAAAAAACCGCCTTTAAAGCTCATCCAATATTAATATGTGCACGCCAAAATGGCAATGTTAAATTCGACATTTATTTTGTGGCTGTAACATAAAAACCGGTTTGGATGGAAAAAAAATTGATTACATACATTTTTATTCTTGTTATTATTTTTTTTTTTTTTTATTCGAATACTCAAAACATATTATTACAATATTGTATTTTGCTTATTTCGTTCCGATTTATAATACGATTTTCCATTACCGTATTTGTACACATAACATAATAATATTATGATAAAATACATAATAGCGTTTTTACGACAAGAATGACAGATCGCCGTATTAAAAATTTACATTTTTTCCATATAGGTAGGTGTACTTTGTATCAGTAAACGCACGGATGACGATCAGATGCATGTCTTAAGACCAGTAGATGCGTATGAGATATTTTCGTAAACTTTATCTGTTTAGGTTCGTTTCGTGCACACGGCGGAGACAGACATTTTCCATCATATTTTGTAATAAGATACTCATTTAATCTTATATTTTCTTAGACTTTTTTTTTATTTAAACACAACACGATCGTTTTTAGAGTGAACCATATTGTAACCGAAACCAGTGGCGTTATTAATCATTCTGCGCGCCGTCTCTCGTGTCCAAGTACCTTTATAATAATAAAATTAATAAAAAAATGTTTAAAAAAGAAATATATACCTTATCCATCCTTTTGGATCGCGGTCATATATTGATGGATCTGGACAACAATAGTGGAAGGGTTCTCGCAGAAGTCATATTCAATATAATAATATATATATATATATATATATATATTATTATGATTACCATTATTATTATTATTACAAAAAGAAGGTGCCCGTGTTTTGTTTGTCGGTCCGCATGGAGTAAAAAAAAAGAAAAGAGAACATTGTACAACGCCGTGTATTGCGGCCTTTTGTGTGCACAACCCTACTTCATGAAGAAATGTACTATATTGATCGAATAATTACCGGGCAAGTCACAATTATTAAATTACTAGGTATACGCCTTATGGCGTGGAGATGCACAAGACAGAGTATATGACTGTGGACAGGTGGCATACCCTTACAATTCGTTCCAAAAGTATTTTATTTCTATACTATGTATGTACGTCATCCTGTCTTTCCGTGTGTTTTCTTCATTAGGAAGGCCGCCCGTTATGCACGATACTCCCGAAGATATATACAATACACCGTCAGATGCTAATATATTTGGGTCAGACGTCATCCTTTCGAGAGGCAAACGCAAGGCGGCCGCTATTACTCGACACCCAATTTCTTAAGTTACAACTGTTTCAATCAAAAACACCCCACCTGGCGGCGACGGCGCGACGCGTTGCTCTCAAATAACGTTAATATTAAAAGATCCATATTACAGTAATGACTTCCTGTTAATACCTCTTGCTTTGTATAACTACTTAATGCACGAACAACACACAAATGGGGAGCTTGACTTGTTGGCCGCGTTGAGTAGAGTATAGTGTTTGGAAAACTAGTACTTAAATAGTATTATAGATTTTTAAATATACATTTGTTATTTTAATCGTATTGCAACTATGACATCATTGGCACATGTAGAGGGGGAATGGGGGTTGTTAAGGAGTACCGGATCTTTTAAAAACTTTCTCAGAATTTCGGTGAAAATTATAATCAACCTTACTACTGACGAGTTTAGTGGGATTTAAACTTCCCTAGGCCTCATGTAATCGCGGCAAAAATGATCATTTGTTATTATATTGTTTTGCCATTTTGAATCATCCCAAAAGTTATACCATGATAATTACTTGTCACGGAGATCTCGAAAACGAAATTCCAAAATACAGTTGTGTGTAATTTGTTGCACGCAGAGTCCGCAATCCCATGAGTTCTGATCAATTTCAACGTGTATAATATCTATCTGTATTTTTTGTTTTTATACCCGGGTTCTCTAATGATACACACTGCTGTGTGCAGCTATATTGAAAATCCAGTGGCTAGACGTCGTTTTCTTGGCTGCCTGGTGGTGTTCACGCGACCATAATATAATACGCACTATATAGTGGAAATCCATTTATCTGAATGGACGATGCTGAGGCGCCCTCTTGGTGGATCGCGTGCAACACGAATAGGCCGGGAGGAAACGCCGCCGATCGAGACATCCGATTATTTGTGATTGGAAAGAGAGAAATAAAAAAAATAAAAAATCTTTCGCCCGTCCATACACCTATACCGAAATCCCGTCTTAAGGCAATTTACCACCGTCGGTCGCAGGTGACCGGCAGCAGGTGTACTATCCTTCTGATATTATAATAACCCGTGGGATAATAATTATTATATTATTATTGTTTATTATTATTTTTTTTTTCCTCTCTCGAGCTCGCCGAGTGTATAATGTGTATAATAATATCTCCAGAAACCGGTACGCGGTGGTAACACGCGAGTCCGACCCCGAGTACGTCTTAAGTATATGTATATGTGTATTATACATGCATTTCGCGCAGACGTGTGTGCCCTCGGGAGGATGACCGGTACTGCAGCAGTGGTCTATGTGGACCTTTCGACCTTGGCGTGCGCCGAACAGGTGGTTGTAAAATGACTTTCCCCTTCTCCGAAAACGGCAACTTAAACCGACACGAGTCGGAGGGAGACAGCAATTCAATGGCGTGCAAAGGTCATGGAAAATATGAACTTTCATGTAAATAATGAAAATTAGATACAATGTCAATAATCTAACACAAAAATTAGGCAAATATAATGCCACAGCGCACAACTAAGTGCACTTTTTTTTTTCAAAAATCTATTTCTGTTTAGCAATAGCAATTGTTTCACGCTGTGCATACGAATTAAAAGTCAACGACCAACACTTTTAAAGCGCAAAAGAAATATTTCAAACCGATTATTACGGTAAAAATACATGAATGGTGATTTCTATACTTTAGTCCGTGGCCGGTAAACATTTATTTGTTTTCTACAATATTAACGAGACCTACTTTTGTACAACTATTATCTCTGATATACTAATATTATAGTATTATTCATGTAAAAATATTATACCCATCCGGATGTCTGGTCGGTTTTTACGATTTGAAATCAATTTCATAGTATATCTACATTATTATAATATTCATAAAGATTAAACACGCATAAAAAGTAAAGTGGCCCGTTTTTACGACTCGAGTGAGCTGGAGAAAACAGTTTGAGATGATATTTTATTAGGTATTTTTTTTTTAATGCTTTCGTTGATAACTCAATCTCGATAGTCCGTTGCCTACATTATTTCCTCGGGTATTTTTGCGTTTGTTAACGGTTTTGTTTATAATATCTCATTTTTTTTTTGTCTACAGGAAAAACCACACAAATGCACGCTGTGCGCGAAATCTTTCCCGACTCCCGGCGACCTTAAGTCTCACATGTACGTGCACAACGGATCGTGGCCGTTCAAGTGTCACATCTGCAACCGGGGATTCAGCAAGCACACAAATTTGAAAAACCATCTATTCCTGCACACCGGTAAGTGAGTTATTACGATTGGTTGTTAAATAAATAAATAAATAAATAGTCGATGTGTGACGTCAACTCGTTGAATAACCTAACGCGTATAGCAATTAAAACGTTATAAAACCAAATTTGTGTTATATATATATATATATATATATGTATAAGATGTTTGATAGTTTTGGCTAGTTTTTCGAAACGGCAATAATATAATATGAACTCCGTTGATAGGTGTAATTTAGTTGTGTTTTCTACAACGCACCCGTGTGTCGTTCTACAGGATTAGTGAAAGAGCTCATCGGTCGTGTAATAAAATAAAATATACACCGCGCAGTAGGCATATATTATGTACATATAGATATTAAAAAATATATATATCAGTATTGTGAGAACCGAAATTAACGATTTGCCATTTCGTTCGACGCGCTTATAATAATATGTACAGATTTGTATCGCGGACCAGCAGCTCGTTCGAAGAAATCTCGTTTTGAAAATCATTTCCAATCTAATATGTATATCTGATCGTTACGGTTCCCGCTCAAAGTTCTCTCCGTCCGTGTCTAATCCGCCCAAAGGATAATAACAATAATATAACTTTGCCATTACTGTTATTATTATTAAGCTTACATCGCGACCATCATGTGCGGAATGCAATCGGGTTTAATAGGAATTCGTGAAAACCACTCCTGATTACACTCGGGTTACACGTGTATAACGTGTTACACTATTAAATTAATTTATAGGGCTTTTATTTATAAAAAAAATAATAATAAAGAATATCGTATTAATTATATACGTGGTAAAAAATACCATTATTTGTTTGTTTTTAACAATAAATAATTACACTGGTCAACTAAAGTTAACTAATTGTTGAAAACCGATTATGTTAGGAACGTTGTTCACCATAGTAGAACTGATACTCGAATAATTTGTATACGAATAGTTTTGTTGTAATATGATTCTTTTAAGTTTTTCCAAAAATACAGTTTTCATAAACAAAAAATGAGGTTATACAAATTGGAGATGCATTTTTTACTTTAATGGTGTAAAATGCGTCTCCGTTGAGTTTTAAAAGTAATTTCTCCACAAATATATTATCAAAACTTGTAAAGAGTAATTTTTACACTTTTTTGACATTATTCAATAACCACTTAACTCGACAAACTTTATATTGGAAAACAAAACTACTTTGAATGAAAAAAGTTAGTCAATGTATATGTAAAAAGTGTGTTTAACATTAAATTTTACTGATAGTAGCTGTAGCACAAAAACTAGGTAGATAGGTATTTAAAAACATTTAGTTAGCACAGGAAGGTGCTAACAAGGAAGTGTCACAACTCACAGACGTTTTGTAGCTGGTGTAACAGTCTACTGCACTTGCCATCAAAATACTTTAGATCCGCCGCATTGGGTGATTCGCATTTATCATTTTCCAAGATCATCGCAGACTTGCGCCAACAGTTACAATACCGTCCGCAAAGTATAAATATACACTTAAAACTGTCTGAAATTATGACTACGACGTTTTTGGACCGGAGGCGATTGTTCTTTTTTCTTCTTCACAAATATTGTACTTAAACGTGCACACATAAAATAATAACGATAATAATGTAACCGTTCCAGGTAGGCGGTCGTCCGGACGGGATTTCTGGGTCCTCGGTCTCGAGTCTTTCTGGTTCTTTTTTTTTCCTCTTCTCATATTAATCCCGCGTTAATGGAATTCGTGTTTTCGCCTCCCATTGCACGTCACATCGAATGCGCTTCGGGGGCCGACCCCGAAGTGACGAGACCTGGCCCAGCCGTTATTATCAGTACCTACTACACACACTGTACATAATATAAAGTATATAATATACACGTAGGTCGATCGGCGGCGAGCTGGCAACAGTAGCTCTACAGCACCCGTCAATATAAATACCGACCGAGAGAGAGAGAGAGAATGATGTGTACTTAGAGACGCATCGGCTACCGGACTTTGATGGTATTAAAAAAATGGGTATTTTTTTTTTTTTACAATCTTCTTCTTCGTATTTTTCCGATTAGCATAATAACAATAAAGTATACATCGAATTCGGCGGACCGAAGAACATAATATTATAACCGTACTGAATGTGTCAAGTATCCGGTGAGACACGAACGGGTATGTGCTGTGAATTCCAGCTATACTTAGGGGTAGGTACAAGTATACGGTGTATTGTGTTCGTTTCGATAATTCGATATCGTCCTCGGATAAGAAAAATATAGCGTTTATAATGATTATTTAACGAACAAAATCGTATACAGTTGCGCCAACGTTTTAATGTATACATATTAAGTGTATATGTGTATATATATGGAAAAATATAACAATGATACATTACAGCACTTAAAAAAACGTTCAACTTGGCAATGCGAGTGCGGTAATAAAAAATAAACGCTTGCACTTGTTTTAACAGATTAACGCCAAGTTAATGCGCCGTTTTACTTTTATTTTTTTAACTGCGACTCTTAATCACTTAATATCGAGATTCTGGATCGTTAATTATTTCTGATTTTTTTATTTTTTTTACATAATTTACAAACAAAACCAGTTTGATATTTTAAACCGGCGTACACCGTGTGAACGAATATAATATACGTTTAAAGAAACCAGTGTCTTTGGTTCGTACTAGATCATAATATTTTATACACCCATATATTCCAAGATTTGGAGCTTTTTTTTCGTTCAGCATCCTTTGTTTCCGGTGTTTACCGATCCACGTCAGCTTTGAAATTAATTTATTAATGTTGTTAAATTTATAATATTACTTACAGTAATACATTTCAACCATAACTTTAACGCCTGTGTATTTGATTGAAAAATAATAATAATTGTCGCGATATTTTTTTTAATACTGTCAGTACACTAATATTAATATTAATTAAATATTACACAACACGTACTTCAGTACTGTTTCCTGGATAGGTGTTATTATAGTTATTACTGTATATCTATAACCCGTGCGAAAATTATGATCAATTACTGTATTAACACCATACCTACCTACGGTTGATGGTCCTATTGTTTGGTTTCATTGGCTATTATGGATTAACATAATATTTATTATAATAATATTATATTATATGCATGATAATGTTATGCACGGCGTATCTGTGTTAAGTAATCCGGGAAGTTGACACCGTATATCTACATACCATACGCCGATTATAATAATTACAATAATTAACCGTGCGTGCAATGAATAAAATATGCTATTATAATATTGCGAAAACGGTATTGAACTTGATTTTATAATAATGTATAAAAAAAATACAAGCGATTCCATCACTGAATGTCATACTATAGCCACCGCGATGTATGCCCGCTGGCTTTACAATTGCAATAGTATCAAGTGTGGGTGTACATGTTGTTTTTTTACTGCATTGCTCGCCTATAAATCGGACCTTGACACTGCGTTGGGCTGTTGAGGTCGTTTACACACTTATTGTACCTAAAATAATTATTCAGCGATAAATGAATTATTAATTAAATAACCAACAGCCAGAGTTAATCATCGCTGGTTAACACATTATTCAAGTAAAAGTTATTTAAATAATTTAATTATTCAGATATATTTTTTTTAATATTATTTAAATATTTTGCGTTTTTTAAATATATTAAGTAATTATATTTTAAAACATTATTTCTTGTAAATATACTACATTTAGAAAATATATAAAACCTGTATCCTGCATAGGAAGACAATGTTTTATTCGAAAAACTTTCAAAATGATAATTCGGACAAATTGTGAAAAAATTATTCAAATAACGTTTTCTTCGAATAAAAATTTGCACAACTCTGCGGCGAAGAAGATCGCAGCCGTTGTCAAAGCCGGACAATTTTTTTTTAATTTACAACATGCCATTTAGACGGGTATAACATAATGTTATTATGTTATTAAACTACACTTAACTTCGACTGCCATAGTATAATAATATTACCATTGGCGGCACATGTATACTTTATTACTTTATCAACGCGATAATTCCACACCGTATTTATCGATAGCAATAACAATAACAATTAGTGTCGTTGAGATTTTCCGCTCATCTTATAATATTTCGGAATTAACACAATACATTAATGTACCGTTACGCAGCATCGGGTTTAACCGATATTTATATATATATATATTATTGCCCGACGGGTCGTCTATAAATCCAGTCGGTCTTAAGCTGGTCAAGTCCGAAATCCAGCTATAGCACAGTTTATAGGGGTTAATAAACACAAGGTCTTTCGCCGGTTCGTCTTAACCGAAACGACGTCTCTCTACTACAATATTATAATAATGTAATATTATCATACCTATTACCATATACTATATACCTACTAAAAAATTAAGACGCTAGTTTGATTCTATTAAGTCGTTAACTGTTGTGATTTCTTGTTTTATTTTTATTTCTTTATACGTTTCCCAAAAACAAATTCGCCTATAATATAATCGTACATGCCGGGCTATAAAAACCTAACCAGTTTAAAAGACAATAAAACCCAAATATTATTCAGTGTCACGGTAAAAACGTCTTCGATACATAAATTGATAATCTTTTTTTTTTCCCACCAACTTTAACTCATACTTGCCGGCACAACCCGTTTGGAACAATCTTGCCGGCAGATACTAGCAGTCTCAATTAACTACTATATAACTATACTAACCGTCGTCTGAGAATGAAAAAGTTCTGACTAGCTGATCAAGAGAGCTTTTTTTTTAAGTCATGTACTAAAAAGATTTTTTTTTTACAATTCTGACATTTACAATCTATTGAGTGATAAAACAAATTTATGACAATTAAACACTTTATTAGAATGTTAGAATTCATGTCCGGTTTTTTTCGTTAAACATTTTAATTAGTAATATTCCATAATACTATAATGTATTAGGCTAAACGTGCAACATGTGTGAATAGAATATTGAAAACATATCGGCAATCAGTGCGATGTATCATATTTAATAAAATAAAATAAAAACACTCCCAAACAATTAACAAAAATAAT